CGCGAACACAATTGGTCCAACGGTTTTGCTGTATAAATACATTTTTTCAAATATTTCATAATCTACTGGATCGATTTAAATTTTGTTTTTTGAAAATGGTCGTCTCGGTAGCCGCTATGTAGAGCAATCAGAAAAAAATATACATTCATCAGAGCTCCAGACAATAACTTAAAAATTCGATAGGGTTTACTTTCTCACGAGATTTTGTTGAGTGACTTTTTGACTTAAGGGAGACAACGAAATTGATCTGCGGCTTTTTTACAGGGCGGAGTGAAAGTAACACGAAATTTCTAGGAAAGTTTCTTCATCTCGACCTGGTTAAAAAATATTTCTTCTACATAAAATTACGAATCCCTTTGCAGGTCAAGTTATTGAGTTAAGGAGAAGATGGAGGAATCCTTTGGATAAGTCACCGCGAAATTTATGTGTGGAGGACCTTTCATTGGACGTCTGACTAATTGGAACATGAAATGATATCTTGTTGAGAACAATACGTCACATTTCTCATCACCATTTCGTTAGAAGTATCGCGGGAATGGACAGCAGCTGTAGTTTCTTTTTAAAAAATCTGTGAACAATATTTTTATGAGATTTTTTTATTTCATAGTAAAGTCCTCAGTTGATTTTTATTTTTAATAAACTATTTATATATAATATAAATTTTTAATATTCCATGAAACATTTTAAATTCTGATAATTTTTTACGGAATATAGAAATGTACGAGAAATAACAGTAGATATATCAAAATTCTGGCAATTGATTTCTTTTTTTATTGTTCAACAACAGATGAGAATGATTATTAATTATAAAATTACTGAGACAAATTTCCGAGTAAATTGAATCGCATAAATATATCATTCCCATTTCCTGGTGGGAAAATATTTAAAAAATTAATAGATTCACTAATGGAGAATTCTACAGAAATTTAATTTCACTTCGTCACTGTAAAAAATTCTCTGATTTTATTACTTGAAATTTCAGGTGTAATTTTCCAACACCCAAGTTTATAGCGAAAAATATTTCTTTCCAATGAAATCCAGGTGAAATCCATAATCCATTTGTAACCGACTTATTCCCCCGTTATCACGTCTAGATTGGAAGTGATCGTTATATCCCCGGGGATAATCACTGCGTTCCTTCGCAGAAAGTCACGAATACCTCAGAATGAGTGAACCGTCCACTCACAGATCAATTTTCCAGATAATAGTGCAAAGCCGTCTCGCTAAATGATAAATAAATAAAGTTTTTTTTCTCCCCCAGCACAATACACCTCCCTACAACCTAATGTATTTTCAAGTGGAAAGCCACTTGTTGTGTGACGCATGAAATGAGCTTGTCAATTTGAATAAATTAGAAAATCCGTATTCGAGCAATGATGCAACGTAATGGACGATTCACATAATCTTAGCGATTAAAGAGCAATTTTAAATCGTCAATTGCATTCGTAAATGTCAGACAAGTTATAGAGAATTACTTGAAGTTACACGTTACATGAAGAGCAAAATATTTTTTTATTTTATCCAATACCAGAATTGTACAAAATGTACGTAATCAATCAATGAGTATGTCACACTCACACTGAATAAAACCTAAAATATCTAATGACTCCTTTGACGTCACAAAAATGTGGAACGCTATAAAAACTTCCCCGCTTCTATGTAAAAATGATTGCCGTATGAAGGACGGTGGTGCTCGATGTATACGAGAAAAGTGAAATGAAGAAATGGCTAGGAGCCGGATAGCTCAGTTGGGAGATCACCCGATGATTCATACGTACCCTCCTAAAATAAAATATCAGCGCTTTTTTTTATATGCACTAAACCCCTTCTTTTTTTTAATGCAGACAAACAATAAAAGAGAAAAAATGTCTTTGCTTACACACTAACGCTAACTAATAAAATCTGAGAAATAAAAAATCCATAATAACATTAAACTCGAGAGTCACTGCGTCACCATAGTTTATGCACGATCACAATTAATAAAACATCAATTTTTTTTGTGTACCTGTTTTTTTTTTAATGTATATAATATTTATATCGGTAAATAATGTAAGTGTACCGGATAAAAAAATATAGTTAATCAATAAAAAAAAGGAGAGTACCCGATGCATAATCGGAACGTCCCGGGTTCAAATCCCGATCTGGATTATCCATTTTTTCAGTAATTTTTCTTGTAAAAATGTCCAACGACTCCTTTGACGTCACAAAAATGTGGATCGCTATAAAAATATTCCCTCTTCTATGTAAAGAAATGTTTTTCCACGTCAATCTGATGAAGGGTTCCCCATAAATATTAAAAAATAAATAAATAAATAAGAAGGTATCGGCAATAATCCGGTAAATTTCGGTTGAGCATTGCAGTAATTTTGCCTCTCTTAACAATTCGATTCTCTCTGAATACTCCGAATTCTCGAAACATTCATTCGAAAGCAAAAACTGAGAATTCCTTACATGTTCGGGGGTTTGGATAATCATCTTTAATGAACGAAGTGAAAGTGTCAATGGGTTTTTTGTCGAAAAATTTCGACAGCTGCAAAAATGAACATTTAAACTCCTTTGACGCCTTAAACTTCAATCATTTTTTTATTGCATTCATGTCAACTATTATAAATTCATGTCAAGTATTTGTAAGAAGAACAAAACGTATCCATCAAATTATGACATTCTGTGTTAATCTCGATATTAATTAATTAATTTATAATCTTAGGTGAAAGTACTGAGACATCTCTTTTGTATAGATGTCTGTTGACTACAAAGAGATGTCTTCATGTTTTCTGTTGGAATTTTTGATCGTCAAGATTCATTTAAGTTATAGATTAGTATAATTTTCGCGAAATGGTAGGCGTTTAAAGAAGAAAGTAAAAAGGATTCTTCCTTTGTTGATATTTCTTTACAAATTTTGAGAGACAAACGAATAAGAATGAATTAATGAATATATTAAGAGTCCTACAACAACAATTTAAAACAAATAATAGTAATATTAAATTATTTTATCTGAAGTTTTATAAAAACTCAAGATTTACAAAAATCTTATTTTTCATAAATATATTTTTGATTTTCCGGGAGTTAAAACACAACTTAAGGCAAATATTCATGACGTTCATTCATGAATTCTAAACTATTAGAAATTTTTTGACATTACTTGTAAAAAACATGAGGGAAAAACATCCAAAAATAAAAATAACAATCGTGAAAATTCAGGGAAATTATTGGTTGTCATATTCAAGCAATTAACTGAATAATGAAATATCAACGAAGAATTCTCCAGAAACTTCATGTCACTTTGTCAAAAGATTATCACAAATTTCAAACTATTTTACATGAAATGATCGACCGATTCTATTCCATTGCACCACTTGCCTTCAATTTCCTTCTCATTACCCTCTACAGTTATAAATAAATGTCAGGATTACAAACTATTACTTATGACTGCGATTCATCGCCTGATTTTTATTAATTTCCCGTGATTTCCTGCGTTATGCTAACTGTTTCATGTCCGCTTTAAAATAAAAATCTTGGCATTTCTTCTCGTGATTAGATGCATTCACGAGACTTCCGCAAACTTCGCCTCATCCCTTTCACCTTTACCTCCGATTTAACCACGTGAAGCACTTATTATGAATCATAACATTAGTTTCCGGTGGCAGTTCCTTATTGCCTCGATCATGAAAAACTTCTACTCATCAAAGAGCCAGAAGTATCCGCCCTAATTGTTGCGCCCATACGCAATAACTCCATAATTACAAATTTTTTCCATAATAATCTCACCCAGGAATTCTCCCTCACACCCGTTAATTGCTAATTAGTGGTTTTTTGTATGCCAAAGGAGCAAAATATATTATACATTTTATTTTATTTTCTATTCATCGTTAATTCTGTGAAAATGGCGGAAGAAGAAATTGTTGAGTGAAGAGTCTCGACAACTTGAGACACTGAGAGGAACTTGGCTCGAGGCTTCCGGGTCTCATCTGGGAAAAGAGTCGAGACGATTGAAAAAAAAGAAGTTGAATATTTTCACAAGCTGTTACAATTACAGTCTCTCTCACGGGATAGTATTGCGAAATAATAATCTGGCCCACAACTGTTGAATCGAATTGTGCGATTGTCAGAGTCTGCGTTTGCTGGTGAATTCTCTTTTGTAAATTCAACTGGGAATTGTTTCGTGACTACTGGCACAGGTCAGGAGACGACAATGAGGGTCAACCGTTTACTTGTTACGGTTTAAACGGACATGCTGTTGCTATTTCGATTGTTACACGAGTACAATTCCATGAACTTGCTCTCATGAGTGTTTTTGGCTGGCATTAAACTGAGAAGAAGAATTTTTACCAATTTTTTTCAGCCTTCGTCATCTTCGTTCACTACATTAATGTAGTAATTGACATAAAATATTTTCAGGAGCTATTAATGAATTACCGTCAAAAATTTATCAGGATAAAAATATTTAACAGCATCGACTGCGCCGTTCTGATCAGCTGAAATCTAAGTTACAGAAATAATCGTTTCATTTACAACGAGACCTACTGCGCACTTCGTGCGCCGAATTTGAATTTGGCGGTTCGAGTTGACCAATGAGGAATTAGCCCTACGCGTTTCGAGATATTTCGACTCGGGCGAACTTCATTTTTGTGTTTCTACTTTCATAATAAGAAATTCCGAATTCTGATAGCTTTCATCGAGTTTTCTTCAACTGAAATTTCTGAAAATCAATATAATATTTGATTTTTTAATTCAATTAATTCGTGAAAATTGAGGAACATAAGGAGAGGTCGAAGGAATTAAAAGTGTAATTTAAAAAGATGTTCTTCTAAATGCATTACGTACAGATGAATTTATCTGAATTACATGGGAAATGGCTGCCCATGTCCAAATTTTATGTAATCAGCATTTATAATTATGATTATTGTAATCTCGTTGAGGGATTTCAATTAATCCCGTTGTATTTGAAATAGCGAGGAGAATTGAAGGTTTTTAGAGATTATTTGAGGCAATTATTTTACCGTTTAAGTCGAGTACATCGAGTACAATCCATTCACTTTCGAAATCAGTATATAGGAGGTTCGTCGTCTAAATTGCGAAATTGCTTCCTCACAGTGTGTCCCATGGTAACATTGTCATAGAATTGCCGCCTTCTCCGTAATATTTCCATTTCGCTGGCTCCCTCTTCTTCGTCATCACTCGTAACACTGTTTCTAATTATTACAAATGGTATTATTTATCTCGATCCTTGATTTACTTCAATAAGAATAATAATCCTATAAATAAATTAGATGTCATTACTATTATTGTTAAGGATGTTCTCCCGGTATTTTGTTATTTTTCCTATTTTTCTGATATTTATTGAAATCTATCGATTGGATGGAGATATGAAAATATAGCGTTTGTCTGTTAGATCATGATTTATCCTTTCACAGAGTTTCATTTCGATACATCAATTTTTATAACTTTTCGATAAAATTTATTGATTTTTTATTAAATTTTCGTGAAAAGTTAGAAAAATTAGTGTATCGGGATGAAAGTTTATGAAAGAATCAATCATGATGGAAGGGACAAACCCTATATTTTCATTTTTCAATCCGATCGATAGTTTTCAATAAATCTTAGAAGAACAGGAAAAATAATAAAAAACCAGCAAAACATCCTTAAATAACAAACGTAAAGATACTCTCGACAAAAGCATCTTTTCCTAAAATTAAATTTTAAGAGTGTCTAGCTGAATCATTAAATTATTTGATGAGTCAATGCAATTGTAAGAGAATATCCAATGAGGATAAATAAATGAAGTGAAACTGAAGATTAATTTATGCGCATCGTAAACAGGGAGCGAGTACAGGACACTAATTATTCGACTATAATTCATGGACGAAAATTATTGTTCTGAATTGAAACCTCCTTCCCACGTAAAATCACTCGGGGATAATAAAATTGCCTCTCAGTAATAAGAAACCCTCGAGAAGAAACTACATACGGAATTCGCATCGCTCCTCAAACGAGCGCATTTTTTTCTATTTTTTGTCCCACTTCGGGATGATTAATTTCTAGTGGAGATAATGAGGCGTAACTGGTCTGGTTAGACGGGGGGAAAAGTTCTACTTTTATTTGAGACTATAAAAAAATTATAATTCTAGCCCAAATGTTTGTCAGGAATAAATATATATGTAGATCTTTGTACATATGATTATATATTATTATATGTATTCACTTCAAGTTTTGTACAGTGTATAGTATTCATTTCGAGGAGAAACTCCTTATTATGAAAGTAGAAAGACAAAAATGAAGTTCGCCCGAGTCGATATATCTCGAAACGCGTGGGACTAATTCCTCATTGGTCAACTCGAACCGCCAAATTCAAATTCGGCGCACGCAGTGCGCAGTAGGTCTCGTATACTAAAATAAAAAAAACAGAATAATGAACTACATCGAATATTTCGTATCACTTTTTCGTTCACCCACACCGCTAAAATCGTTACTATATCAACTACGAGATTTGTTATCTTGCACTTATTACCGTTCCCTCATTAGTAGTGGTGGACTGCCGGAAAATTCGCGCATCGTAATAATGGGCTCATTAAAGGTTCGAGGAAGACCTTGGGTTGAAATACGAAAGTGAAAATTGCGATTGTATTCGTGGCGATTGCAGGCGGAGAAAAAATACTTATGTTGAGAACAATGCTCTGTAATTGTCATTGAATTGCGGAGCAATTGCAGTCAAAATACGGAAACAAAACAATTTACGCCAATAGTTTGCAATTGTTTGAAGTTATAATTTTTGCAAATGGTTCTACCGAAGTAATTCCAGTAAGATTAAAATATCTCAGTAAGGTTATTGTGGATGAATTGAACTTATTATTTAGGGATCTTGTAAAAAAGAAAGAAATGAAAGAGAAATGGATTCCAATGCACGAAGAGGAGTCAAGGAAAAATTTTGGTGATGTATGAGAAAATTTTTCATTAAAAAAGCTAATAGGAAATTTTCCACAAAATTATGCGTAGAAATATTATAAAAAATATAAATATAAATATTTATTGTGTAGAGGAAATTTTCCAGTGCTGACGAGACAATTTTTCTGTCCAAGAAATTTTAGAGCTGTCTTATATATTTTCAAGGTTACATAATTTCCATTATTACTTTCAGAAAATTTATCCAACTTCTCATCATGTTTTATCTAATCTAGGTGCTTCTGAGTCGCTGACATGTGTTGGAACTCTTCCCGAACTCATATTTAATTTCTCAACTGTCAATCGTTCCCCTCGATTTTTTCCCAAAGTTCTTTATCCAAGTTCATACGCCATATCGTTCAATCTAAGACAAAATACGTACATTGTAGACGGGAAGTTTTTACAGCGTTCCACATTTTTGTGACGCCCAAGGAGTCATTGGATAGGATTTGGATTAGGTAGGAAGGGGAACAGGATCATTTTCGATATGATTTTTACAAGAAAAATTACTGAAAAAATGGATAGTCCAGACCGGGATTTGAACCCGGAACCTTCCGATTATGCATCGGGTGCTCTCCTTTTTTTTAACAGGGTTTTTATTTATATAACACATCTCTATTTACAGTTGTCATTATTAAAACTAGTCTTAAAAAATTATGTAAACGATTGTATTTAATTTTTTAACTTTGGCCATGTAAGGCTCTCGTGTTAATACTTTATTTTAATAGGTAAATATTATTTTTATTTCAAGAAAATATTTGTACATTTTAACCTTGTATGCCCAAAAAAAGGAGAGTTGAATAAAAGATTCAACTTTTATTTTGGACTATTGTGAAAAAAAGGGCATCTCTTTATTTATCCAGGCATCGGGTGCTCTCCCAACTGAGCTATCCGGTAAGACTCTGAAACCCCATCAAAAATTGCACTCCCAAATCCATTTGAATCTCCAATCCTTCTAACTATCCTCCTAAAAATCTCCTAACTAGTGAGTATAAATTTTTTTTTCGTAATGCAAGATATTATCTTCTTGGAATTTTTTGAGCATGAGTTTCTTCACACGAGTATACAAGGACGCACTCAGGCACTTCTCAAAAAACTTTTTTAAAATTTCCTTTTGTTTGTCATGATCGTAATATGGGATATAACCGATAGATCGAGGTTACCCATCACACGTTCCACACATGTGAGCCGATGATACAGCAGTTTGAAAGTAGCGGTATTAAAAATGAACTTTAATCCCCTCGAAGAAAGCCAATTCTACGCTGATCCCAAGTGGTTTAATATGGAATCGCATGGTACGTCGTAAGCTTTGCATGAGTGACGTCTCGACGTAGGACGACGCCCTATCCTCTGTACAATACTCTTGCTTTCTAAAATAATCCGCAAAGGACCTGCGTGTGTGCAAACTCGCGTGCATCCAACCAAAAGAGCTACAACAAGAATAGTCTACGTGTGTGGGTGATACTCGCCTGTTGCCTACAGAAGACTAATGAAAAAGAAGCCCTCACAAAGAAAATTAAATCCGACATAAAGAATTATTCTCCTCTCATCTTTTTTTCTCATTGTTCTTTCTTCTCTCATTTTGGAGGGATTATTATTATCCTATGGTGATGTCGACGTTAATTATCGCTCCTCACTATGTCATGACAAACACACGCTTGCTCTTTGCCCTTATTGTGGTTTTTAAAGAAGTAATTACACTGTGTCGGGGAAAGAAAAATTGTAATCGGAATATTTTTTCCAAATTTTCAAAAGATTTCTGGAAATCTGAAAAAATTTGAAATGATTATCACTCGTGACCAATCAATGAACAGCAAGACATGGGAGTGATTTTAGGCTTTAACTTTCGAGAATTTCGATTCGATTCGATATAAATGTCCATCTCCCTTTACATAAGAATATCATTCAATAATAACGCTTCACCAATCACAAAACCATTTTCTTTTTATCTCAATTTTCTCACTCCAGCAATCTAAAGATAGTGCGACTATTAAAAGGATAAACATTATAACGCTAATAAGTGGCGTGATAGAAAGCCGTAACCAATAAAACAAACCACCTATCACTTACTCATGAAGTAGATACAGAGTGGCAACAGCAATGAGGCGTTATATACAAACATAAAAGTCCCCCTCAGTACGCAATGAGATAACAACAATGGTCAATGAATTCGAATGCTACGTTGAATACCTGAATAATCAATAAAAAGAGGCTCTGACCTATTGTAAAATAGCCGGAGGAAAAATATCTGACGGATTGAGAAACGTCAAGCGTGATTCATCGCTGTTGGAACCACAAGAGAGACAATAGATCGGCCTAGACTCTAGACTCTAAAGAGGAGAAACCATCGCAGACACACCGGAAAACTTGTAGAGGCACATGAGTTTATATACCGGTATATAAGCCGCAATAATCCTCATTTTCTTGGGGATCGGCCTAGTACTACCGTTCACAAGCCAGACGACCGCGTATTTACTTCCTCAGATTATTTATTCCCATTGGAGAACTGGATTATCCATTTTTTCTGTAAATTATTCTTGTAAAATTATATCGGAAATTATGCTGGTTCCCCTCCTACCTATTTAAAATCGTATCCAACGATTTGGTATGACGTCACAAGTTGCTGATGGCTGTATAAATTTTTCGTCTGCTATGATGTTGAAGGATTTATATTTTCAGTAAGGGTGTTCCACGCCCTTTCCGCCACAATTCACTTTTTTTTTATTTTTTTGGGAAATTGTCGATGGGACTTATTATTATCTTGTGCCTTTGGGAATTAATTATTACGTGACATACTGCGCACTCCGTGCCTCGAATTTGAATTTGGCGGTTCGAGTTGACCAATGAGGAATTAGTCCTACGCGTTTCGAGATATTTCGACTCGGGCGAACTTCATTTATGCGTTTCTACTTTCATAATAAGGACGAGACATACTGCGCACTCTGTGCGCCGAATTTGAATTTGGCGGTTCGAGTTGACCAATGAAGAATTAGTCCTATACGTTTCGAGATATTTCGACTCAAGCGAACTTCATTTTTGTGTTTCTACTTTCATAATGAAGGTTTCCTTCTGAATGAATTGATAAGAATCGAATGTTTCATGCTTTTGAAAGAATAATTGATGAGTAAATTTGAACATTTTTTCACAAGTTTTGGGTTTAATTTATGGACTTCGAAATATTCCCAAGGGCAATTGCGAGGCTAAGGTAGGGTCTTGAATGAAGATCGAACATAAATTTCTTTAGCGTATAGTT